GTGTGTGTGTGTGTGTGTGTGTGTGTGTGTGTGACGTCTGCAGGGTAAAGAGTGTCTCAGCAGGACCAACTAAGGCAAGCAGCGACATTAACACCCCTGAAATAGCTTGCCAGGCATTTTAATTGCTTTACCCTGCAATGTCTCAAAATGCTATTGGTAAAATAAAAGGGAAAAAAAACAAGAGTGAAACATTTCCCAGGCACAGGATCACCGAAAACATTACTGTCTGTCTCCGATGGAGGAGATTGTCTTTTAAGTGCTAAATTCCATGACTCAAAGAGAATAATAAATACCTGGTTGACTACGTTTTATTTCCCTATTGTTGTATCTGATCTTTGCCCTCTTCCTTCCTCGTTCTCTCCTCTCATCTTAATCCCATTTTTTAAACTTCTCCTTTCATTATTAGTGAGAAAATAGCTACAATGCTGCATCCATTAGCCGATTACAATATAGTTGTGGCTGCGCAGGGATAATTTATGATGCATGCTGGCGTGTTTGTCTTTAATCATTGTGAGCGTAGTAGCGGAGTCATGTGCACGAAGCCTCACAATGAGGTGCTGAAGTACTTCATGAGTAGGAAACTTAACACAAACACAGGAAGCTCAGTGTTTCTCACCAAGGCCAGGAGTCTGTGCTGCAGCGCGGGCTGATGGGACGCTCAGATTAACTGGGGCCAGAGAACCTGCAGTTCCTACACTTTATTGTTACCCAGGCAGAAAGGCTAAGCAAAGATCTGTTTTACCCAACACTAAATCTTATATGTATATATATTGTGTAATTCTGTTTTTGAATGTTCCCTCTACAATAGGGACACAACTGAAAGAATTACATTTTTTATTCAGGCCTTTTTTGGGAGCAAAAGTAAATTCAAATCAATATGCTACTATATATAAAAGACTGAAGATGAAAATTGATGGAGTGTCTATATCAGTAACCTTAGAGGATGAGTGATTAAGAATGAGTCAATATCATCGATCATTCTGTCTCGAACAGTGTTAATAGTGTTACAGAAATAATGCAACATAGGGCTTTCAAGGCATTTATACACTTAGCAGTGATATTATGATGTACATCCACCCTGGGGCTTAATAAACAGCAGCTCCTATGGACTCTTTGTGAAGCACAGACCCTCAGTGTTGTGCAGATTTAAGGTCCAACAGAGAACTCTAGTGGTAAGTTAATGTTGTTGTTTCTTCTAAGCACAGCATGTGCCAATTTATTTTTCATAAATACATCTATTTAACTTAATCAAGTTGAATTGAACTTCTTCTATATTGTCTACTTTTTAAGACTCACTCTGGACTAATGATTTTTGGCCAGGTGGATGAGATATTCCTTTTTATCATTTCTATATGATGTTATTCATACAGTTTTAAAGAAAATTATGGATGGATGGATGGATGCATGCATAGATGGATGGGTGGATAGATGGATGCATAGATGGATGGATTGATGGATAGATGGATGGATGGATGGATGCATAGATGGATGGATGGATGGATGGATGAATGGATAGATGGATGGATAGATGGATGGATAGATGGATGGATGGATGGATGGGTTGTTTAACTAGTGTCTCTGCAGGGAATAAAGCTTTATTTCCACAGTGGTAAAGCTGGGAGCTGCTTGGTTAATTGTCTGTAAGGTCATATCATTTGATCAGTGGTGAGTCACAATGTCCGGCTGCTTCAGCATTATTACCTAATCATGTTCCCAGTCTTACAGAGCTCTGTTTAGATTATTATATTTCATTATATTTTGTCCAGTGACAGTGAGAGTGTGTTTATTTCCTGCGTCCACTTTGAAACTGCCATATGTTTTTTCTACTGCACTTGATGGAAACTTGGAAACAACGGGACATAAAAGGGGTCAACACAGGGTTGGCTGAGGCTCTGAAGCTATTTTGTTCCCCGAAAGGCCTCTTAACATTTAAAATCCTGTCATGGCCGGGGGCGTTCAACATCACTTTATTTCAGGATCTGTGAAGGAGGAGTAGAGGACGAGACTTTTTGGGTACTTTTTTCCCATCACTTTTAAAGTCATCAATTGAAGGAATGGACAACACCCCTTTCACAATACTTACATTTTGGAAACATGGATAAGTGTGCACAGCACTTCAACGTAATGGAGTCTCATTCCTCTTCCCCTCCCAGTTGTTCCTCCCCTGGGCTGGTCCCACTGCCCAAAAACCACTAGATGGCATGCGTCATTGGGATGTGGCCAAAAACAGCAGACGCGATGCATGTCACGCAGACAGATGGCGCAATTGCTGCAGAAACGCTGACTCGTGCAATCCAGAAAATGATCTATTTTCTCAAGACAAACAGAGCCAGGCTCCATTCTGTGCGCGGCCATACATCATGGCGCATAAAGCTGCGCCCTGTGCGGATTGAGGGCGCAGCCGGCAGCTCCTCGGTCAGTGACGTGTGTGATGCAGGAAACTGCTCGGAAAGTTTTGACTCTCCAGCTTTTCTTGTTGAACAGCGCAAATAAAACGTGTTGGGTAAAGATTGTGAAGGTTTAACAGATGCAGTGGCCGCTTTATGTAACGTGTTCCTGCACAGTCACACATGCAGAGGGAAGCTTCAGCAGCCAGGAAAAGGTACAAAAAAAACACACACGTATTCCTCACAGCCCATTGGTCCAAATTTTCCCTGTGCTGCCACAATACTGCACACACGTGACCTCCCTGTTTTCACCCAGTTTAACGCATGTACTTAAAAGACAGGCCACTGTGCCATTCAGCAACACAAGCACGATTCCCACTGCATCCATGTCATCCAGGTAAGACCACTGCTGCTGCTTCTGCTGCGGAGACAAGGATCAGTGGAAGCGGACCATGGCGGCGGCCACGAGCAGCAACACATCCACGCTCCAGATGAAGCACCCCAGCATCGAGCATACGCGGAAACGCATCGACCCGAGGAGGAGACAAGCGGCGCTGTCTTTTCTCAGCAACATTTCTCTGGATGGTCGCCCCGTGCAGGACGATGCAGAGAATCACACCGACGAGGAGAGCTCGCTTGAGCCGAGGACTAGACACAGCCTGGTTTCCCCGGAGCGCTCGGCGTGTGGGGCAGCCGCTGCCCCCGGAGCTGGAGCTGCCGCCGCTGCCGCCGCTGCTGCTGCGGCCGCGGCAGCGACAACAGCCGCCCAGGCGCTCGCGTTCGCAAACCAGGCTCTCCTCTCCAGCAGCCGGACCTCCTTCGGGACGGGTCCCGCAGCTGCCCCGGCGGCGGACGGGGATGGCGACGCTTTCATGTCCTCCTCCTCGGCTTTCAGCTCGCCCTTCTCCGCCGTCCCAACCTCGGCCAGGGGGAGGCTGCAGACCTACACTCAGGGAATCCTTCCTGCCTCCTACTCCAGACAGTCCTCCCAGAACTACTGCCTGGAGGGCGGACAGATAGCCAACTCTGCCATAGAGCTCCAGAGGTCGAGGTAACTCCACTGCCTGGTGTTTGAGGGACATGTAATTATAGTGTGTCTGCTGTTAGGATCATGTTAGAGGTCCAGAGCTGTGGCTGCAGGACTCTGCTGTTAAACTGTGTTTTCATTTTAAGCAAACAAGAAACGTAGCACATGAGCAGTGAGTCCACTTCATGTGTTGACCTGCAAACAAGTGTCTTCATTTGTTTGTGCTCCATATGCATTAGTACAATAAGATTCCACTGAAACACCCTCTACTGTATTATTAGTGTTCTGCTGCAGCCATAACGTCATAGCAGCCAGATCATCTATTCTATTATATTTGAGTTAACCAGTAGTATCGCTTATTAATCAGTTAGTTCAAGACTTCATTTACACGTTGCATTTGGATCTTTGGTGGGTTCAGTGCTTGTGATTGTGTTTTTTACAAAAACACTATGGCCTTGATGAATAAATGAATGAATGAATGAATGAACTGAATAGTTTTCTTTCAGATTTCTTCCAGGCAGCTGTTTTTTTGTTTTTTTTAAAAAGGTACTTATCGATTTCCAAGCGTGGCATTCTGCCTGGACACAGCAACAATACACAGCAGGCGGAGAAAGTACAGCTGTGTGTGTGTGTGTGTGTGTGTGTGTGTGTGTGTGTGTACTGACTTCATGCAGATGGTTGCAGACTCATGACTCACTGGCGTGTACGAATACTTTGTGTGTAATCACAGGTCCAACAGCTGTGGAGCTGTAACCCAGTTTCCCTGGAGAGGAGACACAGCAGCACACCTCCTCTGCTCCTCTCTGTGTTTCTTGCTCACACGTTCTCATGCTCCACGCCAATTTACTGCACCTCAAATTATTTTTAGTCGTCATTCCATAAGCTGGCACGCACCTGCCACCTCCCTCTTCACCTCTGCGTAACAAACATCCTGTAACTCTACACCCCCTGTTCAAATGCACATACAAAAGGGACTCGCTGCTCCGAGTGAATGTCTTCTATTTGCCCTCTTTGTCCACTTCCCTTCAGATGGGACGAGGAGAGGTTTGAGGGTCTCGCCTCGCAGTGGGACAGCTGTCAGTAGCAGTCGTCTCATGGCTCTCTCACTGTCAGAACCTGCTGTCAAACCCCCTCTGCTGTGTCGCCCATTCAGAGCTCCTCACTCACCCCCAAAATCCTCTCCTCCCTCTGGTGACTCTGCCAGACATCTCTCAGGAAACTGCTTCATGGTGAAACGACTCCGTAAGCATCTAGTTCCCCTTCCTGACCTCGTGGAAATTGCACTGCTTAACGACAACAGCTTCCGAATGTCTAAATCTGTACCTTTTTTTTTAATGGAGAAAGAAGTGCATTGAAGATGTTACATAACATCCAAGGATCCATTAATCATTTTAAACTAGAGACTATTTACAGTAGAGGGAAGGAACAAAATAAAAAACAATGCAGTGCTGTGCAGTACATCTTTAACTGCAGCTTCAGGAATAAATAGAGATTAATTGATACTCACAGGCCCAAAATAAAATTCAAACTAACATAATACACAAATATAAAAGTTAAAGTTTTCATTGTTGTGAGCGCTTCCTGGGGGAAGAACCCATTAAATATCAGTCAATAAAAATCTGAATCAAGCAGATTGTAATATTATTACAGTGGATCTTTTTCAGCCATTTAAGAACAGATACTCATAGTTAAAAAATAAAATGTATTAAATTATAATTACCATGGTTTTCATGTCCTCGTGTCAACCACGTGTAGTAGTCTTCGGCATTAGCGGAGGTTTGTCACTATAGTGCCATTCGAGTTCAGATCAAAATCTCAAATACACAAGAACAAAAACAAGTATTAACAGTCAGTTTTAGATCCTGACAGTTGTCGGTACTCTGTGCTGTCGACACATTTCACTTCAGAACTAAGACAGTATTGAGGTTCAGTGCTCAGCTTTTGTCTGTTTCTACAATGCAGTCCTGTAGTAGGTACAGTATAATGTTGTTAAACCCTAACTACGCCATTTGGAATGTCTTTTGAAGGTCGACCACACAAAAATGAAAATGTTGAGAAGTAAGCAACCTGTTGATAGAGCGTCGCCGTATTCCACTGGCGCAGACAGACAAACGCTCCGCACAGTGCTTGGTTTGTTTTCCGAGGGCAGCTGGTGGAAACGTGTCCAGAGGTCCCTGGCTGGGAGAGGCAGGATGCCCAGGCTCTCTGAGAAGCAGCCTGGCTCCCAGCTCTGTGTTTTCTGTCCTCCACTTCCTCTCTCAGGAGCATCAGAGACACACTCTCCCCTCAGACTTTTTGGCCTTCAGTCTCGCTCCCATACAGGAAGTCGAGGAGCCTCTGATGTGCCGCCAGAACAGATTCTGCGAGGCCAGAATTGCTTTAGACCACATCCTAATCAGAGTCCAGTGCATAAAAATGTTATGTTTTCACATTCAGCTTTCCTTTCCCACCTCAGCCTTCATCCATCATGATTGTTTGGACATTTTCGGTAATGCCTATGTAGCAATACAATACCTGAGTTTGTGCACCCATACTGCAGCAATACTTTTATTCCCCTCTGCCAAAGAGGTTCATGTTTGTCTGTCTGTTTATTTGTTAGCAGGATTACACAAAAACCACTAAACCGATTTCCATCAAACGTGTTGGGGGTATGGGGAAGTTCGGTGCACATCGGATAAAACCTCAGCTTTCATCCATGATGAATCAGCGTGCCAAGAGCAGTGGTTTAAATATAACATACCTCTTACCATCTGTCTTTGTCTCCCTGAGGCTGAGAGCTATTTTCTTTTCACCATTTCCCCACCAACACATGGACAAGCCAAGTCTGTGGTTTCCAAAGAAAGTGCAGAATCATGCACATCATAGTATTTTACAAGATTTGTTCCAGCATGAGGCAGCAGAAACTACGACTAGAAAACAAGCAGCATACGCTACTCTCCTGCTCCTGTGGAGTTTTAGTGTGATTGGATCACGTTCCCCAGGAGAAGATGCTGATTGTTGCTCGTTGAGGTCATGGTTGGCATAATCACAGGCCTGTAAGAGAATGCTTTATTTTCCTTCACAGAGTCTCTCTATGTCTGAACCGTCAACAAATGCACAGAAAAGCCACTGTGAGCGTAAAGCTGGACTCACACCAATACATTGGAGGCATCCACTGAAATGCTGCTCATTCACTTTAAATGCATCATGTGTTGCCGAACTGCATTGTGGGTCTGTTGCCACGTTGCTTTCGAAGTTTACTTTTCTGCAGGCAAATCATGTTTCTTGCCTCAGCACTGGTCAGCCTTTCATCAGGTGGTTACGACTGCTTTTGTTTCTTTACTTTCATTTTCGTCCGTTTATTTTTCAAATCTGTGGATAAAACCCAGTTTCCCTCCCGGTGTGTTTGAGGATCAGAGCGGCTCAACAGCTCTGACTCTTTTTTAATCAGCATAATCACATTTCTCGTCGGCCTGGTTTGTATTTGTGTGAAGAAGCCCAGAACATTACATTTATTTCCGTTCTGGGACTCTGGTAAAACGGAGGACTGTGTGCTGTGGTAATCTGCCAACACTGTGTATGTGTGAAGCTGTTTAATCTCTGCATCTAAATAGTCCACCTGAGTTTTATAGCTTTATTTCATGAAACCATTGAGCAGGATTATAAATAGTTGTTTTTTAAACATTTTAAATTCACAGAGAATGGTATGATGTTTGCAGTAGAAATAGCTGAGTGTGTAAGATTTAGGTGAAAGGGATCTAAATCTAAATTGTATGCATTGTAGTTTTCTTTACCCCAGAAAAGGCCCTTTATATTTAAATACTTTATATTTACATCGAGGGGACCCTCTCTATGGAGGCTTGCATGTCTTTTTTTACATTAGTCCAGACTGAACAAACTAAACAGGTTCTTTTTCATGTTTGGAAGGGAAGGGTGAGGCGAGGGGTGTTCATCTGCAGCATGCAACTTCAGCACTAGATTCTACACACTGTACCTTTAATGATGTATTAGTTGCATGTATGTAAACAGCATTAACATCTATTTAAGGTATAGCTACAGCAGGGATTGTATGACAGACACTGAGAGCCACTGATTTATACTGAGGCTTCTTTAGAAGCCTCCTACGGAGCCAAACTTGTAGAAATTGGTTGTTCTCACTCTAGTTGGCCTGAGTTAATGTTTCCATGGTTTGTGCCAGGCTTGGAAAACATCTTTTGCATTAAAAACACATCCTGCTGCTGCTGTTCAGCTGGATTCACGGATCAAAGTTCTCTTAAGCTCAGTTCACTTGCGTCCTCACGAAGTGGAAACATGCCCTTCGGCCAAGTGGTGAATGATTTTTTAAGGAATGTAACGATTCACTGAGAGTCCGACTGGAAAAAGGACATAATGTCACACAGAATGGAAACGGATTGGACAGATATTTTAGTTATTTGAAACTCAGGACAGATTGATGATAAAGTAGAACACTGTTTGCATGAGTTACTGGATAGGTTTGGATTTTACTCAATTCAGTTGTCATTCTGTTTTCAACCCGTGTGTTACTCTGCTGCAGCTCTGCAATAAATCACAAGGGAATTACAAAAAAGAAATACTGTATGAAAAAGACTTCAGAGTAACTTTGGAGGATATCTGCTACATTGGTTAACTCACATACCTGACAGCTCATTTTAGCTTTGGCTGAACTTTAATTTTTTTGTACATGAACTCAGAACTGAAAATGTAGTATTTCACCATATAGTGCACCAGGAAAGGATTGCTTCACTGCCAGAATGGACAGGATGAATGGTTGAAGTTTGAATCAGTTTACATATTAGCATAGTAATGATTAAATACTTGGACAAATCAAACTTTATTTCTATGAACCTTAATTAATTGTGCAAAACGAAGGAGTAGGGCCAAGTGAGAAGATTTTTATGTTCTCATTCAAAACTGTTACAGTGGTCCATGCTAAGATCTGACAAACCAAAATGAAGTGGTTCACCATCAGAGCAAATTAGAAGCCTTGTTTTCTCAAACCAGCCAATTCATCTCATCTCAGTTTGTCATTGGAGGAGGATGATGATGTAAGACTGACCATAATGATCCTGCTCGTCTGACCTTCAGGCAGAGGTCAGGCCCCTTAATTATGAGCCTCTGAGCTCACGCTAGCACAGATAGTGCTGACGCCAGCTGCACGCTATTGTCTGAATTTTACTATCATGCTCCTTTAGCAGAGCTTGATGTTCTTCCCTCCACTTTATGATCACCAGGGTCATTATATACAGCGCAGAGGGTCAGCCGGAATAATGGCCCTCGGTTTCTCGTCTGCTCCAGCAGTCTGAATCCTCATGTAAACACTTATCTCACCCCATCTCCTCCAGTATACAGAGTTCACTGAGCTTGTGTTGGTTTAAACCCTGGGAGATCCTCAAGGACGGAGTCATCTTTTGTTAATCTGTCCTCATGCTCTGTCGTTTATTAACCAGCCGAGCTCCGCTGTCTCTCTCTTTGGCCCGAGATGCTCAGAGGAGAGGGGTGGGGGTCGGGTTTAAGTGTCATCTGCTTGTCTTTATGCTGCAGGCTCTACGGCATTACAACACATTTTGATTTGTTAAAATAATTAAATGGTGCAACATGATTTACGGTGGTGTGAACAGTCGCTTGTTTTCGCTCTGACTTGGCGCGGCGGAGCCGTAAGAGAGAGCTGTTGTTGAGCACTTGGTGACATACAGACCCTTTTGTGTGTCATGTTTTTGTTATTTCATCACTAATATTGTAATTTCCACTACTTTTATTGTGGCCACTTTGCAAGGCAGACTAAAGACTTGGATTATGGTGTTATTGTGGTGCTAAATAAGCAATTACCACCTCATTTAGGAACAGCTCAGGCATACTTCACACACACACACATGCTCACACACTTTCTATCACACGCGGTTTGTTTCTGACACTGGCAGCCAATCATATCAAAGCGGTCCAGCAGAATTAGCCTGTTGAGTCGCGCAGCTTAAGTGTGAAATAAAGGCCATCTGTGACTAAATGTGTTACACAAAGTCCTTATAGAGCCAGCTAGCTATCCTCCTAGTAGCTCAGATCCAGGAAAATACTCTGATCTATGCAGGACTGAGGAGCGATCATCACACCGATGCATGGTGGTGTTTACTGATGGACGTCGTAACTTGACTGTCCAGGACTTTTTTTGTGAATCAACCACAGAGCTTAGAGAAAAACGTGATAATTTACCTCCATCGTTTGACCTTCGTACTCACAACACTTCCAGGGCTTATATCAAACATGATTGCACGATCAAGCACCAAAAATATTTCCTTATTTCACTGCACTTTGATATATTTTTAGAATGGGTTAAACAATTTTTATGTCATATTGAACAAACAAACACTTTGGGGGTTTCAAGGGTAAACAGGGTTTAGCCCAGGCGACCACTTCTTCAGACTCAATTAAACAACAGAAAAAACATAAAATGCCTCAATACTGCTCATGTGGTGTCATCCAGACATTCATATTCAACTCAAAACAAGATCATTTACGCAGTTTTTTAAGCCTAAACATCCGCGGAGCTAGCAGACGTAGCCATACGTTGCTGTGCCTGAGGGTCCGTGAATGCACCTCGTAGGAAGTCAGGGCTTACGGACACTTGGATGACAACAGCACATGAGCAGTATGGACATTTCTTGTTTTTTCAATAGTAATGGATTTGGCTGCAACTTCACCCACCCCTCCATCAGCATAGTGGTGAGTGCATAATGAGTGAATTTTCATTTTTCGGTGAACTGTCCCTTTAAGCCTCCCCATTACTGACTAACTGTTTATCACTGTGAAAGTGTCAGGCGTCCTTGACTCATTTCAGTTTGTCAGTTGTTGTGTAAAGGTAAAGCGCGGTGATACCTTGGTTTATTCTAATAGCTTAACTGACCTCTGTTTGAAAATCACATCTTTTGGATGCCAACCTTTTACATTCCTGTATTACTGTGGAGCAGACTTTGATCAGTGTTCTCTTTTCATCAAATTGCTTTGCAGTATAATTTGTTCATGAAAAATAGGCATAAAAGGAATATTATGATTATTTGGCCAGAGCTGGTTCATGAATGTTGGTCCTGTGAGATTCCGGTGTGATACATTTCTTAATTTCCCCCCTAACTTTAAACTTCCCCTTTTTGTGTCTCCTTAGACGAAGACTAATCTCTCAGCGCTCTTCGCTTGAAACGCTAGAAGACATTGAGGAAAATGCTCCTCTACGCAGGTAGTAAACTGCACATTCACATTGTCCGCCACCATATGTCTTGTCTGTCGGTGTAATGTACCCAACTGGCACAGTTTCTCTGTGTGTTATTTACTGAGGATGTGTGTTTGTTTTTCTATGTTTCTAGATGCAGAACCCTATCTGGTTCCCCTCGACCAAAGAGCTTCAAGAAGGTCCACTTCATAAAGAACATGAGGCAACATGATATGCGAAATGGAAGGTATGAAGGCAAACAGCCCCTTAGTCAATACAAGTCCTCAGTGGATAATGGCAGACTGCCCCAGTCAATGAAGTGCAGTTTGGATGTTTCTCACATTACAGGCCACACGGAGGCGAGCCGGCCAGCATGTTGTTCTCACTTATTAAGAACATGTAACTGATCAGAATCATTTCTGTACTAAATGCAATTTATTACATTTCTATCTTTATCACAGTTGAAATTTTTGAGTCACACATAATATCACTCATAAAAATTCTAAATCGCACAAACACAATCATGTGTCCAGAGCACAAATCCCTACATACAGACAACGTTTGGCACAGTGGTGTTGATGTTTTGTTGAGTGTGCATAAAGGACCTGATGAGGAGATGGTTGTTAAATGTAGGCCAGGAGACCAGCACAGTGTGTTTCTGAGTGATAACGCTCTGGTGATTTTCATCATTTTCACTGTCACATTCTTTGGCTTTGAAAGATAATTGAGTTAGTGTTTTTCTCGGTCTTTTACTTCACAGAATTCTGTGCTTTTTTTTGAGTAAATAATCCTCTTTCAGCTGAATTGCTTTTAAAGTATAATGAATACATTCAAATAGTTGTGTATTTATATTTTTCAGTTATTTGACTGACACGCAGAAGCAGATCTCACACTGAAGTCAAGTACCCAGAACGAGTCAGTTTACCCTCTTGATGAGATGAGTTAATAGGTGCCGTTGTTTTCTCTAATTTCCAGATCAGATGTGGGATAATGCTGAGCTGTATCTCCCACACCATTAATAACTTGCTCGTTGATTAACTGATGCCAAAACAATTCACTTTTTGTGAGTCATGTGCCGCTTGCGTCCCTTTTGGCCGAGTAGGGACATTCATCATGTGTCTGTGAGTTGCGGCTATTAAAAGATTGATATCTGGTCCCTGGTAAACCTTTTTTTAATGGATACTGTTTGTACACAAGTAGAATGTTTTGAAGATTAAGATCTCGCAGCAAAAATGCATCATTTTCTCCCAAACCACTGACTACATGCTACAACACTACAAAACAACACACACTGAAACTGAATTCTCAGTTCATGCTCTTCATTCATTTCAAGTTTTTACTGCACACTTTTTTCCCCAACTTTAACCTGTGGCTCTTGTCAGATAGACATTGATTAGCTTGTTTTTGTTTTTATAGGATAGTCCTTATCAGTGGCAGAAGATCCTTCTATAGTGTATTTTCTGTCCTGCCCTATCGAGATTGTAGCCAAGCAGGGTATGTATCCGACAGCATGCCGAACTTTGAAACTTCCTCCAGCCTGTGCTCCCTCTTTGTCTTTGTTTTCCCATCCCTCTCTTACTTTGGATATACTCTCCTCTGACTGGTGCATACATCACTAAGGGCTGGTTTTGGTGGATGCATTTTTACATTAACGTTTAAAAAAATATAAAGAACCATTCGGCTGAAATGGGCTTTGAAGAAATAATTTGGTATAAATGTTGAGCACATTGTAACCTAATGCTTGTTGCTTGCGTTGCTGTTTTCACATATCGGCTCTGGTGGCTTTTGGGCACTCATTCCTTTCGTTCAAGTCAACTCATTTTTGTCTGTCGCTGGCTTTGCTGCGTACCATTTAAGACTACATCCATACTACTACGTTTTCATTTGAAACACATCAACTCTGCTACAGACGCCTGACGCAGTTGGACCAGGACTGTGTTTTAATCTGGACGAGCATAAAGGGAGATGTTCGGATCAATGAGGTCATATCACGTAGCCTGATTCGTCAGGCCACCTCCCGAAACTAAACAACCATCAACAGCCTTGGCTACCAGTGTACAACGTAACATGGATCAATTGCAAGCATTGCAGACTCTGTTGTCTTTGCTAAGAGCTGCATTTTATAATGATACAACTTCTTACATGTGTCAGAAACCAACTAATATTTATTACAATCTCCGACTACTCCCGTGTCCAGAGGGTCTGAGCAGGACTCTCTTGTCCTCATGTTAACACAGGCATGCTCAGTTTACATGAGTGGTTATGTGATATGTGTTTGGACATGGATTTAAATTGATACACAGCTGAAACGCTGATGTGGACAGAGAACAAACAAAAACATAGTAGTATGGATGCAGACTCACCTCAGTGAGATTCCTGCTGTCTCTAGAGTCAGACATTCTAATTAAATTAATTGTGGTCTAATCATCAACAATGCTGCTACACTGGAACATCTGTTGTGTGTCCCTGTTGTTGCGTTTAACCATTTCTTTTTTTGAAGTAAAACAAAGGTCAATGTTACGGCCACCCACCTGGCTTGTGTGGGGGAATCTCTGGCATGGGCATAGCACCGACGCCCCCCCGCACCAAGTCACATGAATCGGTGTGTTTTGGAGGAAACGAAAGAGAAAAGGGACAGATAAACACCAGAGGACACAATGCGCAGAAAAGAAAAGCTTCACACTGGGGCTTAGTGAAGAACATAAAAGGCTCAATCAGTTTGTGGAATTTCCTAATCCAGCCAATCAGTGCAGGTCAAGGGTAAATAAACCCCCAGCTCTTTCCAGTACGCACATTTGACAGCTCATTGCTGCTAATTGAGAGTTTACAGTGAGTTGGCTCAGTCAAGTCAAGTGTAACAACAACTTTTTTTAATTGTCTGGGCTGGTTGCATGTCGGTTTTCCTCTTTTTTAATCTCCTGTCTTTTGTCTTTAACTCCTGCCCCATGAACAAATAATACCCAATTTCACACAGTCGACTGCTCCAAACAAACAACCACTTTTATACGTCTGTTAAATATTACAACCAGGAGATGATTAGGTTAGCATAGCATTAAGACTGGACACAAGGGAGAATCAGCTATATCTTGGGTAATGATGGGGGCTAATTCTTGGACAGGTACAGTAACTTCTTCCAAGATGATGATTTTTCCCACCAGGAAGTAACTGGTCCTGGCTGAAATAACAGTTCCACGCCTAAAACAACAACTTGTATTTATTACTCCACCATTCTGCAAACAAACAAGATGAAAGTTGATCTGTTTTAACCTTTGGACAGAGCTGTTTTCTTACTTAAAGCTCAGCTTTGCCAAATTACTGCTGGTGGTACTTTCACATTTAGCAGACTGACATGAAAGTGGTTCTGATCTTATCATCTAATTTTTTCCCAAAATGTCAAATAGCGCAGACTTAATGGCTGCGTAACCGGACGCATGTGTTTATGGGGAGATGCTGTCTCGTGACGGCCAGATGATCTTGCGTTCCAACTCCTCTTGGTTCAGTCGTAACTATCCCTGGTAGACTTCTGCATGTTCTCCTTGTACTGGCATGTACTACACGTGTTTCTGACCCTTAAAGACATGCATGTTAGGTAATGCTCCTGGCATTGCAGCGTAGTCGCAGTTGGAGATATTAGATGGGTCAACATGCAAAGATTTCCTCACAGGGAATATTGACGTATAACCTAGTGACACTGACATTTAGTTTAAGGGGTGGAGCTTAAGCAATACTCTGGGAAAATGACTACAAATCAGTCAACACTAAAATCCCAATGTGAGCTGTAAAGTGTTTGGTAGTGGAGTTAGAGCAGGGTTCAAGATTCCTTAGGTCATGTCAATATTTATTCTTTGTTCAGCTATTTTTAATTTAGAAACATTAGGCAGGATATAATGAGCACTATTGTAAATATTATAACACCACTAACATACAGAGGTGTAAAGCCAGTGATTCCTACTCATGCATGTCACTGAGTAATATCAGCTTTCTTTATGATTTCCTTTCATTCCTCCTCATCCTCAGCAGACTGAAGCTTCACAGCAAAGCTCTTCTCCCTAGAAAGCTTTCCGTCTCTTGTGTTTCCCCTCTTTTTTTTTTTAGTGTAATCTTCCCTGTTGCTGCAAGATGTCTGCTGCCTGGGGATATCCGTGTCTATGGTGCATCTGTCAACATTTTGTCCTTACATGCCTGTCTGCAAGATAACACTGTTTTCATTATAACAGATTGGCCACACATGTCATCGAAACACTGGGAGTGTCATGTGAGGACCCGCTGTGTCATTTCTTTCTATTCGTCCATGCACCATTTTAAACAGGAAGCAAGGCCGGGCTTGGGGGGGGGTAGAAAAACAAGACAGCGCTGCAGCTGATTGCCTCTAAAATTGACCTAAAATGAACAAATTATGAGCTAAAATAAGGCGGGAGTTAATATTTAACAAGCACAGGCGGATATTTGGAACTTTTTGTTGCTTTGATTAAACAATACATTTATTTTTAGCTCTGATATATGAATGGAAATTTGGACTTTTAAGTATTTACATTTTCCAATGATCTTTTAATCTCAAGTCTTAAATCATTGGAAAAAAAATTGCCCTTAGCTTTGCATTATGTCATTCAGTGAAGCAGAGTTCGAATAAAGAGGATGCATGTAATCATCGCTCTGAAATAGCCTTTATTAGCACTGACCTAAAATCATCCAGTTAATTCATAGCTGTAACTACTGTTTACTTTCATTTTCCTCTGTAGATTCCTTATGCCAGTATAATGCCTTATAAAATACAAGTTTATGGGCACACAGTTTTATTTTCATGTGATTGCTCAATTCTGTAATATTGGGCCTGTGAAAAAATATTTAATTCAATGGCGACTGATACACTTAACTCTCCAGCCACCTGTTGTTTTACTTCAGCGATCTGACCTGCAAATCTCCCACAGTAGAATGCAGCTGAGTTTAAAAACTATACTCTTCCCCCATCCTTCCTCCCAAGGGTGCACTTTATTTCTGATTGCCCTGAGATGCCCATGGAAACGGGCAATTACAGAAACTAGGCCAGTTGATAGACACAGATTGATACAGGGCCTAAATCTGCAAGTTAGAGATGCAGAGGTGAGATAGAACAGATCTCAAAAGAGAGGAGATGGAGATAAAACCAGGCACAGAATTGTTTGTATGATGAAAACAAATCGTGGTGTCATGTGCTCATCATCAGGGAGGTAAAGCTGGAAGGAGGGCGTCAGCGGCACCCTTCAGGAAGTGTTAGTGCCAAGGAGATGGTGATTGGACTGGAGGGAGTGGAGTTAGGAGCAGATGGAAAGGTGAGAACTCAGCAGAAGTATGCACTTATGAAAAATGGATTTTGTCAGCATTTTCTCCTATGATGTCTTTATATAACCCAAAAAATGCAAAATTTAGAGATTTAAAAATGTGATATTGATCTTCAGTGAGTAGAGCTAGATGCTGCTCCAATATTTTTAGCTCTAACATGAAGAAATATTTCTTTAAATAAGAAGCCTCATTTTTTTTAACCTTTTTTTTCTAAGCTCTGTGTTAAAACATAACAGCTAGAAGAATGGATTGTACATATGGAATGGCTGAAAAGGGCCATTTTTTAACTTGTGAACATTACTGCTCATTTGCAACTGTTTTAATAAGTGATCAAATTTATATAAAAATGCTAAAGTGCAAAATAAACATTTAAAATTTAACTTGCTGATGTTGTTGTTGTATGTCATAATGCAACAACAACATCATTACATAGTGTCTGAAAATGAGCTCACTATTAAGGCTTTTGGGAAACGGACATAACCGTACATGCCTGTGTCCGCAGACTGTATCCTACACCCAGTTCCTGTATCCCACCAATGTGCTGGGTGGTCGAAGAAACACCATCGACTCCACCTCCTCCTTCTCTCAGTCTCGTAACGCCAGCCACCGCAGCCTCAGCCTGGGCCGAGCCAACAGCAACCAGAGCAGCATAGACACAGGTTAGTCGCCCGCCAGCAAATACTTACGTGATTAATTACGACTGTTGGTTGTGTACTCTTCATCCACCAGTTGGTGTTTTTTTTCATTATCCAATGTACTTGTATTGGAAAGGAAATGGGGCAAATGTTAACTTGTGGCTCGACCTCTGTCGCTGTGTTTGTGCTCACGGCAGGGAATGATTTGGCCGACTTTCGGGAATACGACCCCAACCTGCTGGATGACCCTCAGTGGCCTTGTGGAAAACACAAGCGAGTCCTCATCTTCCCCTCCTACATGGTGAGCAAGGTCTCAAGCTGTTTCTAACACACCATTAGCAGCAGCAAACTGCAGTACTCTTGAGAATACAATGGAAACTTTGTTTTTGTCCAGGACGTAATTCACAAACCTACGTTTTGAAATGTGTTATTGAACTTTCCTGCAGTATCTCACCATTAATGCTTTTTTAATATAGTAATTTTTGGCGCTATGATCGTTTTCGCACAACAAACCCAGAACAATCACCAGGAAGATTTTATTGGCTCTAAAAAGTCCTCCTGAATTTAATCAGCTGTTTTTGAAAGGCAGCAAGGAGGATGTTTCAGACAGTTTTAATCAGGAAGGTCATTGGCTCAGACTCTCTCCCACCTTCTGAGGCCTGAAAGCATATACATGTATTATTTTCATGCAGAGGGCAGTAGCTGTTAAAACAGCCCCTACAACAGTTGGTGTAGTGTTTACGTCTCCGCACTAATCACTCTCACTGTTCCAGACAAGAACGAATGTTTTATTGTGGTTGGACGAGCAGGTCAAAAAAAAAAAAACCTGACCAGACTCCCACCTCATTCTTTCCCGGGCTCTGTTTATGTTAGGCAGACTGGCAGAATGCACAACAAGGACTGGCAGAGTTGAAATGTTCAGTCAAGGCCAGGCTATGCTTTTTTTCCCCCCTCTCTTCTCTTCCTCCAATTACAAAACCCAGCATCTCACAACAATGGCTATTGTGTTTGCTGCAGGACTGGAACCAGTAAATTCTCAGCATTGCAGGAGTTGAACACAGACCCGACTTTAACTGAACTTTTACATTCAAGCAGCAGATAGTATTCGCTTATCTTTTTTTTTCCATCCTCATCATGCAATTGAGGAAACGACCTTGGATGTGATTATGAAGCAAAGAATTGTATAGGTGTTAAAGACGCATGTTTAGTGCACATTCCTGAAAACATGGAATAATGAAATGTTCTGACACAAGTTGGTGTAGGACATGATCATAGCTGACAGACGTGAGCCAGTGCTGGGCTTTTTTTATGTTCTCTTCCCGGAGCTGACCATCGATAAGCATTCGTTCTCCTTCATGCTTCATGATCAGTAGCATGGCGATCGGCGTGGATCTTTATTATTCACATTCCATACTCTGCCTGCATACAGAGAGCCATCCTTCTATTTCTAGAACTACTGCAGTGTGTCCTTATTCCATTGGTGAACACTATAGTAAAGGAACAAGGATGCAGAAAGTGTAAATATGTATGTTATGTATGTTTAATTTAAATTTGAAATAGTATTATACTGCAGCAAACTTTTGTGCTTGATTCTTAATTTCCAATCATTGCAAAGAAAAGCAGCAAATCGTCCCCTTTCGTGAAACTGGAACCAACAAAGATTATATTATTTTTTGCGTTGGATGGTAAGTTGTCGACATAGAAGACAACATTATCAAAACATAAGTTCAAAAGTCCAAGACGATTACTACACTTCAGAGTTGTAACAGTCACCCAGCAGGGTAAGGGTTATGTGGCGGCTGGGTTGAGATAAAAAAAAAAACGGGTGTGTGCTTGTTTCAGTGTGCCTGTGTAATCGTGTGATAGGCGAGTCTGTGTGTACATGTGTGAGGCTGAAAAACCAGAAAGAAAGCAGGAAGAGCAAATAAATTGGAAATAAATCAACAGCACAAAGAGCTATGGTGTGTCAAAGTTACTTCAAAAAATACAGACATACCATGACTTTCCTGCGGACTGATTTCTACGTAAATGGAACAATTTTCCAAAATAAATCCAGAGGATGTGACGTCACTGCTCTCTTCCGAGTGATGTACTTCGATGCTTCTTTCGCGCCGCTGCATCAACAATGTGCAACTCTAGTAAACGTTATCTTAGAAATGCAGTCCACTAACCACAACAACTGACTACGTCCCAGCACAACACAACTCCCCGTTAGTCAAACTCCAGTCTAACGTAACCAGGCCTCACGCACTGGATGTGTCTGTGTTCAAGGTGATAACAGTCTTACTCTAGTTACATTTATTAACATGATGCTAAGTATTTAAATTAAAGGGCCCATCGTAGAATAAAGAAAACTTCATAAACACAGTAGTGAAAACATCACTAGGATCACCAGTGTCATTAAGAACAAGTGTTTTCTGTCTGTTTATTGAATTCTAATTTTGGCCTCTGTGAATGTGTGTTTATTGTCTGACTTTAAGATTTTAGGAATTATTTTGGTGCAATGCAATATTATTTCTATTACTTGGATGAATTATCTATTCAGCAAGCAGCAAAGATCCTTTTACCTCATCTTTAATCTAAACCGTGAATCCAACCAGGGACTAGAATTGCACTTTGCTCGACTGGGATTAGATTTCCAAACCCAGACTCTCGGACCCTTGTTAAACCGTCTCGATGTGACTCACCCACCTTCTACACAAAGCGTGCTGTAACAAGCTCTGAGGATTTTTTAAGAGGAGCCTGATGAAGGCGTGGAAAAGCTCTGTACGCAATTCACTATTTTACATGTCCTCTAGGTTTTTAAAGGAAAAGACTGGTGATCATCTGTTTCTTTCTTATTGTCCCATTAAAAAAAAAAAGATACACAGGAAATACTTGTTTTAGTCTTTTCATGGAATTTGTTGACTATCATTAAGATACAAGAATATCACCTGGTCTTTTAAGTGACATAACACCAGTGCTCAGTGAGCCTCATTGTGAGACAGTGGAATCCAACACTAGCGTGCAAGGATCCAGCTCGCTGCTGAAAGTTTGGTCACTCTGACACCGCCTCTGGTTTTCCTTTTCAGACTACGGTCATCGAATACGTCAAACCGTCTGACCTCAAGAAAGACATGAACGAAACCTTCAAGGAGAAATTCCCCCACATTCGGCTCACGCTCAGCAAGATAAGGAGGTAAAACAGACAGAAAGTGTGTCCATAAAGATGATTTTACAGTTTCCTTCCTCTTCATCTACACCTTTCTCCTTCCTCATTCTCTCTTTTTTTCCACTCTATGCAGCTTGAAAAGGGAAATAAGGAAGCTGGCTCAGGATGAGTGTGGTTACGAGGAACCCACAGTGGCCATGGCTTTTGTCTACTTTGAAAAACTTGTTCTTCAAGGCAAACTAAACAAGCAGAACCGTAAACTCTGTGCCGGAGCTTGTGTCCTTCTGGCGGCAAAGATCGGCGGGGATCTTAAGAAACATGAAGTCAAGCTCTTGATAGATGTAAGTTTCTCCACACACACATCCAAAACTCAAGACTTTACACCTTTGTATGTTTTTTTTGTATCATCTTAAATAGTCAACAGGTTAAACATAAAGAAAACTGTCCATAGTTTTGTGCGAGCATCAAAAACTGACGGACATATCAAAACAAACCATAAAACTAAAACTGTCTGCGTGGCTGGACAACACGGCATGTGAAGGAAATCTCCTGACCTGAAGGAAGACGTCCTCTGGAGATCTCAGACGTCTTTTTGTTGAAGCTTGATGCATCTAAAAGAAAAAAAGATGAGCAACACAAGTGTTAATAAACCTGTGGCACGCCGCAACAGGCCAACACTCATAAACCCTTGTGGTAATATCCCTTATGTCCACATCTGGATATTCTTCATTGAATCACATAATAAAACATAACCTCACGTTTCACATGAATCATATTGTGAACTCTTGTCCTGCAAACAAAGCGCTTGTGTTACCAAATGACCGTGTGACCTTGGGGCTTCACCGCTAACACTGATTGTCTGAGGGCCCTTGGTTGCTAAGGTCACTGCTGATGGGGAATGAGAAGAAACATCCAAACAGCCATTTTAGATCTGACTAACGAATAACTATGTTTAAAGATGTTGTGATAATAACCGTGATATTTGAAAACTTTTGATATCACGTTGTAAAATGTAAAAGGAAGAGCCTCTTCAAACTCATCTTATCTGCATAAAGAATTAAATGTCATATATTAACATGCCATACACCTTTAGATTGATTAGATGCAGTTCATTTTACAGAAATGAGCAGAAAGGTTTTGGGGATGTCTAAGAAAACATAGAAACATAAGATATTTTACCTCTGGTATCCTTTTGTCCATGGCAGAGCAGGGCCAGCCCTCGAAACACTGGTTGAAAATAAGTAGGTGTGGTTATCAGCAGCACGACATGTATCCATTGTTTGATCTTTATCCTCTTTTTGGCAGAAACTGGAGGAGAGGTTCCGAGTGAACCGCCGAGAGCTGATAGCCTTCGAGTTCCCTGTCCTGGTGGCGCTGGAGTTCAACCTGCACCTGCCCGAACACGAGGTCATGCCCCACTACAGACGCCTGCTGCAGACCACCTAGCATCGGTGACCCATCAGGAGGACGACCACCATGTTCTCCTGATCCATATCCCTCGGTATCCATCCTCCCCTACTCTCCTCCTCCGCGACTTCAAGGTTGTCACTCAACAGCGGCAGGTCCTCGCTTAGACACCTCTCCTTCATCTCAGAGACCTGGAATCAGCCAAAGGGACACACATTTTTAAACAAACTTTTTTCCATTTTTTGACTTCTACATTCATAATCACTACATGGACTTGTGAAAGAAAGAGTTTAATCGTCTGCAAATGATGTTTTTATAGTTTGACCTCTCTTCATCTTCACTTTGTGTATTTTAGACTCCTCTTGTTGCTGAAGAGAGCTGTTTTCATTTGAATCTTGAATTTCTCTCACACAGTTAAAGAAACAAATGATTGTAGCTTTTTTTTTTTTTTTTTTTTTTTTAAATCATCTCTTGTCATTAATCTCCTTCTTGTTAACTTTGGTATGATTGGTTGCCTCCTGAGCTGCATAAAACCTAAACAAAACCATTTTAAGTGGCTGGTTTTGGCTGGACTGTTATTCCTCAGAGCTAGTTTTTGCAAGTCATCGTCTTAAAAGTGCACTTTTTGAATACTGCGAGTCACGGGCCGAACGGGGACATGTTTTTCTTTTTTCAGACTTTTAATGAGCTTGAGAACTAACCTTGAAAAATAGTTCTCAAGCACAACACGCTTCATTCAACCTCTGATAAAATGTTCTCTCCTGTGTTGTATTCAATATTTTCTAGCCACAAGTATCCGCATGATTGTTGAGATGGGACTCCCTCTTTTCCATTCATTTTCTACCAGTCAGACGCTTGCCATGGACTCACAGAGACCAGACCCACTTTGATCAGTGTCGAATTTCCCGTGCTCTATGTTAGAGTGTATCGTTAGCACGTTTACGGTGCTCTAATGGGGTCAAGATGGTCGTTCTGACGAGTGCAAACGCAGCCATTAACCAGGGACGATGATTGGCAGAAGGGAACTCTTGTGTTAAGAGAGAGAATGTCCTTAACCTTGTGGATGCAGGTTAAGACCCTGTGCCGGTCATCCTGCTGAAGTGTCCTTGAGCAAGACACAGAGTAGCTCCAGGTTTTAGGGACACTGCTCCTGAAAAGGATCAAACATTTGCAAAGAACTGGATTTAGCATTTGAAATATTGGTTGTTGTTTAGGAAAACACATTTGGGAGGAAATTGTGCCAATATGACCAATTAAAAAAAGTATTATTCCATTTACTTGGCATGTATCTTAACTTGATTGCTTTTTTATTACCTTGAAATTGTCTCACATGAAACCACAGAGTATTGAGCGGCAACCAGATCAGGAACATACAGTCGACCTGCTGGTGTTTGATGCTGATATTTGAAGGCAGTTGAGCTGAAATGATCACAAAACCAAATTTTGTAATGATGAAAGCATGGATCGTGCTGATTGAAGGTGGGGAAAAAAATACTGAGCTTCTTTCTGATTGCAAGCCCAAAGATTTCGCTGTGAGATGCACTCTGACTCTGTGAGGAAACACTCATTGGGGACACTCACTACCTGTGTATGTTTGTAAATAAACTGCTTTGCTTGTTCAATCAAAATAAGACTGAGGTTTCCTTGTTCCTGAATGTGACGTGAATCTGCAGACTAATGATTTTCAGGTGGTTCCCCTGTCTTTTCCTCTAGCGCCACCATCAGGTTAACATCATAGAATGTACATAAAGATGGTGTCACAACTTTCTCCCACTATCCAGAAGTTAAGCCAAAATATCCCTATCCCTATACTCTATCAAATAACTAATCAAAAAAAAAGAAACTTCAACAAACACTTCAGTGTGATAAAAACTAAAGGAAAGTTTTAAAGTGTGCATTGAATTTTTTTCTTTGATTTGGTCCATGTCGTATCCACTAACCCAGAGGAGGTTGGATTAAACACCTATACTGCAGCCAGCCACCAGGCGGTGATCAGGATACTTTGGCTTCACTTTAGGGGAGAGGTCATGTCGTCCATTTTTATTTACATTTTGTAGTTTCTAGTTGTTTCGACAGATTACTAAAACATTTGGTTCATGACCAGTTTAGAATAAATTCTAATCAAATGGTTTAATCTTGAACTTTTCATATTGAGGCATTATCCCATCAGCCTCAGCTGTGCATGGTGCACTGTTGATAAGAAACATATGTCCCCCCAGGTTACCATGGAAATGTATCACCCGTACTGGTTTGGATTAGTTTAGCTTAAGTTCAAGTTAAAGCAGTGTTACATTAAGACTGAAACAATTATTTTCTCCAACGTTTCTCAAGTTTACAATTTCTTTAAATGGCGAACTGTGAAAAATGTGTGCAACACTTTTTTTTAAAATCTCACACTAACACTAACATGTGCACTTGATACTAAACATCTGAGTCTAAAGGACGGTGTAATATTGCAAATGCTTTTTAAATGCACTGTAATTAAAATACAATCATCCACCCATGGCTGTGGCCTCGTAGCAAAAGAGAACAAATGGACAGAAACACAAGGGAATCATCTATTAAAAATGCGAGTGGCAGCAAATCCTATTTCATTAAACTCTTCAGCCTCTTGGAAATTCTAAAGATTCTGTAGCTATATGTGACAAATTACTTATCAGGGATCATATTTGCTGTTCTGATGCTCATGGTGCGGCTCATCTATTAATTTACAGCATTAAAGACACTAAAAAACAACCAATTAATCATGGGACCTGAACTCACATGACACATGACAAGATTATCAGCAGAGCTCTGCAACAAATTGAGTTAATCTGTACTTTGTCAAAACCTAAGTTCACTGACTTCTCTAAACTCTGCTGCCAAGACTTTTATCTCAGCAGTGGTTCTGTTCATTTATCTGTCACTGCCTCATTCTCCGTATTAAATCTTCAATGTGAGCTACAATCAACCACAGTTTTTAAGATTTCTGCTCCAAGTCCATGTTGAACCAGACGTGACTTAGTCAAGACAACATTAATCCCTTCTTATTTGGAGCCACCTTAATCAAACACACCTCATTTCAGCACATGACACTGCGGCGGCCTTGACTGGAAGTGGACTGCACCTGTGGCTCTGATGCAATCTCAGAGGTCTGTTTCTCATGGAGGGGGAACTCTCCCAGCCTGACACATTTACAACGTAAACAAGGCCCGCCAGTCACGCCAGTCTCGTGCTGCCATCAAAACAAACAGAGCAGGCCCGAGCGTGGACACATGGCATACGTGGCTTAGTCCCCTCCATTGACGGCCTAATTCCCCCCTCAGCGACTCATAAAGGGGTCTATTGATCTGCCTTCCTGAGCCCTGCTCACACATAAGTGACCCTCATTGTGAAAATATGTGTACCATCGTTTGGGGCAAGCCGCGGTCTATTGCCCTTCCCTTTAAAATAACATTTGGCTGAAACGGCATTTTGCCCCTTTTCCTGTCATGATACTGTGACTCAGGGCTTTTCCGTCATTTACAGTAGTTTGTAAACAAGGAAGTGTGGACGCTGAGGCTTGTGGTACAAAAGCTGCAGAAATAACTGTGTGGGAATCAATTCGATTTCCTTAATTTTGAGTTTTGTTTCAGCACCAACACCAGTTTGTGAAGCTCAGTTTTTGATGATGTGAACAATGTGATTGTCTTTCTTCAGCGACTGTATCGTTGTGTTTTTATCCCAAATTCCTGAGTGCTCAGGTCGTGGAGAGCTCTGCGGGTGGACCTGAAAATCTGATCTGTTTGACAACGCTACCCAATCCTTTTTGTTCCACCCCAAGAGTCTATTTCAGAGACAGCCGAGCCCACTGTAACAGAAAACCAGTGACGCAGAGCGGGACATTAAATGCTTCTTACACTTATTTATTGATGGATCACGCAGATCCACTTTTCTTTAAATCTGTGGAAGGAAAACAGACGGAGAGGGTCGACGGCACAGATAGGACGAGGTCTGGATAAAGTATGTGGTGTATTTTATATAGAAAAATAAGTTGAAACGCAGATGCCACATACACATAATTTTATATTTTTTTGAATTAGGGCATTTCTGTGTTACACTCAAACTGTTGTCAGCCCAAAATTTGCCAAAATTTTACTTGATTCTCTTAGACTTGTGAGAATATTTCCTCAAAATGTTTTTCACACCCTCGTGAACTACAATGAGCCTTTCTGTACAGTATGTACGTGTCAGAAGACAGGGGCAGGTCAGTGTCTGGTGGAGAGAGGTGAGCTTTGCACATCTTACATAATCATGTGCTCACAACGCTCTCCCCTGCAGAGGAAATTAATATTTTAATCTCTCAGCTCGATTCAAAGAACAGTCCCCGGCTCCTGCGGGGCAGCGGATAAATAAGTCATGAGCTGGAGGTTTGTGTGACAACAGGGTTGGACGCAGTCACAACAACACACATTGTGAGGAAGCACACGCAGCTCCGGGCTTGGCGGCTACTCTCAGATGGGATGTGAGTGACTGACGGCCTCTGAAGTTTTAGTGTAAATATTCAAATGCTGCCACTTTAGAGAACAACCGGCACCATTATGCTCAGTTGGACTCCGCATTTGGAAAAACGGACAAAGTAAAAGCACTGCACGGCTGCTTATCTTCAAGACATGAAAATTAGGTCAATCAACATCTACATTACTGAGAGCAGGACGCAGAGAGAGCTTTGTGAATGGAGGACGCCACACTGTGGTCAGTCGGAAGAATCTCAATAGATGGTCTTTTTGGTTTGTGCTTAAGGTGCCAAAAGTATTATTCCTCTTAAAAATGAAATACTGTAGTTTTTCTTTGTATAGAACCTGATGCAAGAGAAACAGTTAAGTTGTTCTAATAGAAACGTTTGATAAAATGTTAAATCAAATGAACATCTGCTCAAACATTAGTATAGAAACAACATTTTGAGACATGAAATTATTTCAAAGAGAATATATTGGAAAATTGTTAAAAAAAACTCAAATATCTCACTGGTTGGTTCTGTTTTTTGTCATCAGAGATTATTTGTCAATTTCAAAACACAGAACCGTTAATAAGCACAACTCTTCCTCAGTCGCTTTCGCTCATAAACATTTTTTCTTTGACACATTTCATTCTTACATTCCATAAAACATCAATTGCATCATGAGGGGAAAAAAAAAACATTGTGTAAGAAAGATTAAAAACAAAGAATGGTACCGTTCCTTAAAAGATTTTTAAACATCTTGGTTAAAATGATAACATCCTCTTCCTGTTATGTCTCTGTCCTGTTCAAATTCAATTAGCGGGAGCACACAACTGTGATTAAGGCACAATGGATGATCAGTTCAATTCATCAATACCTCAGATATGTTACTGGGGTGTTGAGTTAAAAAAATTATTCTATTAATCGGCCACTCAAAGTATTTTTTTCCTTGAAAATCCAATAGTTCATTTTCCCAGTTCCACATGGTCAGTGATTAACAAAGTAAAATAATAACATTATTAATAACTTAAATGTGTTGGAATGAAAAACCTGTCAACCAGTCAGCATTCTGTAAATCATGCAGAAACGTTTTAACTCTCCAGCTACAGCTATAGTTCAGTCACTGGAAAGTGTCACAATTACACTTCAATGTAAAACCATTATTAGCATTATTCATAGCAACCTTGACATCTGGCATGAGCATGTATCTTGTGTTGGACGAACAATCGAGTCCTGCAAACACCTCAAAAAGACGATTACGATACATTAGCTAACAATGAAATGAAACAATGCCAGTGAAGTTTAAGCTTTGAGCTTTATATATATTTTTGTTACCTTCGCCAAAGAGGTTTTCACTGCTGTTTATTTGTTTGTTAGCTGGTTTGATTGTAAGTAAGCGGATTTCCAAGAAAACTTGGTGGAAGGTGGTCAAGGAAGAAGCCCGTTCAATCTTGGTGCGGTTCAGGGAATTTCTTTCACTTTCTTATTTCCTGGATCCTGATGTGAAAAATCTGGCACATTTAGAGGCCTGATATCTATGAGTGTGTGAAATTTGGTGCAGTGAGTGCCATTCTAATACCTATGCTCCCATAGGTAAAAAATGGCCACAACTGCGACACTGCTCTTCCAACATAGATGTGAACGAATAGAGTAAAAGCCAGAATTTAAAGCTAAAAGACACTTTTAATTTCAAATCCAGTGTGCTCGAGTAAAAACACGACTGTCTTAGTACTCACAAGCTAATCCCAGATTCCTTAGGTGTACAGGAAACATTATTGCTAGATGAAAATGAGCCGTGTGTCTGTATGATTTTGAGTTTGCAGACACAGCTCTAAATAGGATTCATGTTGATGCCAGGTATTATTGGGGGCTTATGATATCACTATTGTTATTGGTTAGCTTCAGTGAGTGCTGTGTTACAGTCAATAAATGATTCAAAATATCAAACAGTTCTACAAAAGTTAAAAAAAAGAGTCAGATCTATGTTTCTGGTATATATTTAAAAAACTCATGAAAAAAAAAAAAACTGACCAGTTTTACCCTTTTACGTTTTCCCATATTAAAATAATTCATAGTATCTGACTGAGGGTTTGTCTGTAAAATGGTGTTGGGGGGATGGTGTCTCTCTTACGTTCACACAGTCAAAGTGTTGAATTCTGTTCCACGGCACGTTGCTCATGCTTCAAATACCGAGGTCGGGCTTGTCCTGTAGTGTGAGGAATGTCGGGGGTCTGAAGTCTGCTGCAGAAGTCAATATGAGTGTGCAGCCCAACAAGGCCTCTGGCAATCCCAAGTGTGTTCCTGAGTGAAATCCGTGCATAAGTAGTAGCAATGACGATGAGTGTGTCAGTAGTCACAGAAACTGCCTCGTGCTCACACCCACGCAGTCCCTTCCAGACAAATAGTTAGGGCATTGTTCATTGTCCGCAGCCTCCTAGTAGTTGAGGAGCCGCTCCCTTTCTGTGCCGATATTGCGCTTGTTAGCAGCAAACACCTTTGCTTTGTTCACCGAAGGACCTGTGAACCAGGACCAGAGTTTCATTTAAACACTGCATTAGATCTGTGCTCCAAGCTTGTATGTTTCAGTCTGAATGTGCGACTATACTGAACGATACTGACCAATATAGCTGAGCAGCACAGGGAGGAAGATGAGGCCGTGTGTGGCCCCCAGCAGCACTATGGCCAAGTACATCCTGAAGTAGAAAACCTTGAAGATCTGTGACTTGGACAGTGCCAGGATTATGATACCGCCAAACTTTGTTAGCGTGATTCCACTGAATACCTGCAAAGAAGGAACAGTTCAAGAAATTCAAATACATTTTGAAAATATAAAACTGCAAATATTTTCAAGGGGTTATGTAGTTTGGTGGAGGCCCACGCTCAACTGAGAGACTTACAGAACTGCCCATGTGAGCCAGAGCCTCTTCAGCCCGCTCCACTCTGTTCTTCTTCACACTGATGGAAAACGCTCGCACGATGTGACTGCAGAACTCCACCGAGATACCACAGGTCTGAAGCAGAGGACAGGGAACAACTCAACATCAGAAAAATGCTCATGCTGAATATTTATGGGTGAGATTAAAGGAAAACAGTCATCAGCTCCAGTTTCTTTTGAACATATTGTAACTCCTGGTATTTGGGGACATGGTGAAATTGCTAGATCAAAGTCCCTGAGGTTAAACAAGGCGAGGGACAGAACAACATCACATCTTGTCCTATTCATTTACAATGTTTTCAAAGGTTTTTATTGCTTCCCTTAATCCTCAATTGTAATATTTTTTTTATTGTGCCTTGGATATTATTTTGGTTTTCCACCAACTGTATGTAGCGTCTTTTTCATTCTACTCACCATGACCAGGTTCACCAAGGAGACCGCATTGAGGCTGATGCCCCACAGCCACATGACACCGAACATGTTGACCAGGATCATGGCGATGGTGAGGCTGACGACCACAGCCGACCACAGCTCAAAGCCCAACAATACCGTCGTCACCACAAATATGGCTGCCAGCGACACGCTCAAGTTCAGAGCCGTGTCGTACGCAATGGTGAGGTACTGCTCGTAAAAAACGTAGAAGATGCTGTAGAGGAGGAAATAAAGAGGTGAACAAAGAAGTTTACAAACTAACAACATTGTCCAGTTTTTTTACATTCACAGAAAATGTTATGACAAGTCTACACCATCTCTTATTAGTATATAAGTAGTAGTAGCAAAATATTATTAATCATCTGCTTTCTTGTCTCAAGATGAATTTCAGTGGTGACAACTACTACTACTCATTGTCAACACAGAACATCTAGTTTTGTATCTGCAAACCACCTTTTTTGTGGAAAACTGGTTTTCAACTCCCAATACAAGACTTTTCTGTAATGTAGGATTAAGAGCAAGGAAGGTTCATTCAGTGCTTTGGGTCAAACATCAGCTTTGTTGCCATTTATAATGTTTTCTTTGCTGCCTGCTTATCTATGACCTACTTCTCCTCTCTGATGCCCTTGAACCTTGAGTCCAGAACAAACAAAACTTCATTATCTCAGCTTAGAAAATCATACACAGAAAATTCTAAAACACAACTATTTTCAAAAAACTTAGAAATGATTAAGAATCATAAAACAGCATATTTAACAAATATCCATGAGCAGAGTACGAGGACTTACCTGTAGGCAAACACTTTGTGGTTCATGGACTGACTGATATTCTGAGCCAGATTTCGGGCCATTTTCAAACCATTTATGAAGTCTGGGGATTCCTTCAGGATGGTGTGGTAAGTCATAAAGTAAGTGGCTCCCACTCCTTTGTCATTGGGATACAGGTCCACCGCTGTGGCGTAGGCTGCGTGGCCGCTACAGGAGCAGTAATGGATTGAGAATGAGATTTACAAACCACAACACAAGTAAAAAAAAAGTCCTTTTGAACCAAAGAAACAAGTTTAAGTTATAACATTGTGTGTGTGCCATGTGTTTTCCATAGAAACCTCAAATTTTGACAGAGATATTAAATTACCCTTTTCCACACTTGGCGTTGGGATTGTCCGACAGGAACATGGGTAGAAACCGCATGAAGTCTTCACCCTCGGGCCTCTGCTTTCCACTCGGAGTCATGGGCCGACAGTGAATGCACGACGTGTTTACCACTGGAAAACAATATCACGCGTATTTTCATCCTTTCTACCAATTCAATCAGGTATTTGACAAATATATACTAAAACCATAAATTGAAAAAATGAATAAACAAATGAAAGTTAAATTATGAGCAATTAGCAATAGGGAATATAGAACTGGCAAAAAATGCTGAACTTGTGACAACGGTTTCATTCAAAGCATGTTGACACCGGATAAAAATGTACCTGAGGCATTGCAGAAAGCCCCGGTGGTGTTGATGTATCGACAGCAACTGGACTGAGGCTTCACCCAGTCGAAGTAGTCGTCCAACCAGGAGGACGGTGTGTTAGCAATGGTTGTGCTGGAAATGTGAACATTTAAGAGATCGTAGATCAGATTAAATGAACTTTCAACCATTTGAACTTACAAGTTGCTTAGATAGTGTAATTGAAATAATTTTCAAACACTTATTTTTTATTCATGATGTGATTTGTTTACAGCTCAGACTCACTAGTTGCTGATGAGTGAGGCAGAGTAGACCTGCTGGACCAGAGAGTTGTTGTTGCAGCCAACTCCACCACATACAACATTCTGACCCTCCAGGCTACTGTAGTTCAAACCATCCTCCACCACAAAGTACACTGGAGCTCCAGTGTGGAGATACTTGCTCATGTTCTTAAAGTAGTCCAGCACGTACGAGTCCTGGATGGAGAGACAAACATTAGATTTGACCAGCACAGGTAGAGGAACGTTCATCAATTTAAATAATTACACCACAAGATATGCAATCGATTTAGCTTCCTGGAGACTAATTGTTACAACAAATGCAAAGACTCACATCAGGCATTGATAATTTCTGATCCAGTCCGATCTCCACTTTGTTCGTTACAGCAATACTGAATGAGAGTATTCCAACAAACACTGCCACCTAAAGAAGGAACGATGAACAGCATGATCATCATATACAGACCAAAAACAATATTCTACCACATGAAAAACATGATTCCAACTCAATCTATCAACAAGTTAGAGTAATACACGACAGGAGGTGCTGTGCATTACTGGCCATGTCTCACTGAGGTACTTACTATGATTGGTCGCACCCACTCTTTGAGGATGAAGGGGGCATAGACTTTCTTGAAAAAGCGGAAGAGGAAACCATCCGTTTTTGTTTCCTGACCTTCTGGCAGCTTCACGCAGCAGATGATGTCAAGTCGGTTCCCCTTTTAGACACAAAAGGTCAGTGGAACTTTGTGACGAATTTTAAGATTGAATCATGAAGAGCAAGTCGTCAACTGTGAGTCACTGAGGCGAAACAGTAACACAGTAAACACATCTATATATTAATTATTAACAGATCTACTTATATTCCCTGGTGTACAGATTGGTAACATAAAAACAGTTAAATATCTCTCTACAACGTTAAAATGGGGCTGTAAAATCTGAAGGGAAACTCATATGCCCATTTAATACCCCTCCAGTATCATTGTTAATATGTCATCACAGTTTTTTCACCCACACTGACCCACCTCTTGTCGCCTGGCGTCCAAGCCGAGCAAGCTGACAAAGCAACTGATCTGCAACAGGAAATCAATAAAAACAGCCAAGCCAGCAAACAGAGAGAAGGTCCTCACTGCAGGCATGTTAGACAAGGCTCCTGCACGAGAGGAGAAGTCAACAATTTCATCAGCATGTGACCAACCACAAATCACAGCATTTTATTAAAAGGCAACTTTCCTTTAAAACTATTTTCCTAATTCAAGGTGAACCACAACAATTCTTAGTACACATTTAAAGATGAATTCAAATTTTTCTGTGAACATTTAGAGTTCATTTAATCGATGATCCATTTTACCCAGGAAGAAGGCCACTGTCTCAGAGAACGAGGAGAGGAGCATGCTCGGGGCAACGTCACCAAGGATACGACCGATCTGCTGGTGAAGTTCCTCCTGTGGCATCCGCTCATCTCTCTGTGGAGAAATGCAAATAGAAATCCTGTGTTGCAGGTTTAACAAACATATAACCGATAATTAAGATATATAGCACATAAGCATCAAATAAATTGGTAATTTCGTCTGTACTTCCTCTCACTCCTTCTTCGAATATGTAGATTCCTCATCACTGTTTGTAAATAATACTTTTTTCTGTTTACTTTTTTTCCCACTTGTTTGTATAATTTTCAAAATTAATAAAAATGAATGTATAAATTATATAGTAGTTGAATTGACAAAGGGGAAGGAAATGTTACCTGGTACGTCTGCACCATAATAAAGATGTTGTCCACTCCGACAGCCAGCACCAGGAAGGGAATGACTTCAATTACAATGAGGGTGAGAGGGATACCAGCATAGCTGAAGATCCCCAGCGACGAGGACACAGAGCTGAGCACAATCAGGATACCAGCTATACCCAAAGAAATCTTTGAGTCCACCTGTGCAGGCCAAAAAATTTGAGGATTAGTCATGTGCTGTCCTCCTCTGCAGGTAATTGTCAAACCTGTTGTGCCAGTTTTGTATTACGTCACAGGGAGAAAAGATGAGTGACACTGAATGACAAACTATCCCAGGAATTCATTATAGCAGTAACACTGAATCAGGGCTTGGTCTCTTACCATCAGTCTCCTGAAGCTGTGGATGTGGCCCAGGGCCAGGGAGATGTAGATGAACATAAATGCGTAGCTGATCACGATGGTGCTGATGTCACTGTTGCTCTCTCTGTTAATCTCATCCTCAATACTCCTCTCTGCACTAAACGCTATGGTCAGGTTGGGGTTTTTGAAGTTCTTCATGAAATTGATGAATCTGAAATGCACACAAATGATCACAGTGATTTAAATGAATTAAAACCAACATTCGCTAACAATTTTTCTGAAGCTGTCAATAAGACATTTTAGAAATGGATTGATTTCTTACTCTTTCTCCCACGCCAGAGCTTTCCCCATCCTATCTGAGTCGTTCAGGTAGTTGTTGAGTGGAAAGGTGATCACTAGAGCGGTGGCATTGTTGTAGTTGGTCTCTGTAGTGTGACATTAAAAAAGATAGTGGAATTGTGAAAGGGAGGCAATCGCTTAGGAAATCCTCAGTTGAAATAGCAGTTACAGCAGAACACTCATTTTGGCAGAGAGACGGTCACAGCACGGACATAATCTCTTTGGCAGAGGTAATAACATCACTTCACAATCAACAAAGAACAAGATTTCAAGTGCAAATGATACGATTTTGGATTAATATTGCCAAATACAATATAGCACATTAAGGCACAATGCACTCAAATAAACTAAGAGAGGAAGAAATGTTTTGTAAATAGAGATCTACCACTACTTCTTATTTCTGCTCACCATCGTAACCCCCCAGGGCGAGCCATGGGAAGACAGGGCCCCCATACGTGCCCAAACAAGGGTCATGGAGGAGAGTGGTGTCGTTAAGGGATGCTGGTGCACTGCAGAAAAAAAGGGAAGCAGACAAAGTTGAAGGATTGAAACAAACTAAGAAATACCCCATGACAACCAAATTGCCAAATCGGGAGCAAATAGATTCTAGTGAACTGCAGGTGTTTTTCTTACTGCAACAATTTGTTATTCAACAGATCTGTATTTAGAACAAAAGGAAATAGAAGCCTGCTGGTACATATTTGAAATGGGAAAAGAAACCTGACAGAATTGGAAAAAGAAGAAGAAAATCACCTGACACAGTAGAGGAAGTGACTGTGATAGTCAGCATAGACAAAGAAGTCATCTCCTATCGAGTGGTCCAACACAGAGTGGCTGTTCTGAAAGTAGTTGAGGACGCTCAGGATGGTACAGTTGTTATTGTACGGGGCCAGAGGGGACAAGCAGATGTCCTTCAGGGTGATAGTTTGATTGTTGTATGTGGCCACAATGGCTTCGATGCCAAGCTGCAAATCCAGCACCTGGTTGTTCACATTAAGAAACAAATGAAAGTAGAAAAAAACAGAAGAGAACAAATAAATCATGGTTTCACAAATGCAGCGGCTCAGCATATTTCTCATCTGGTGAGAGTAGCAACACTTCATACAAAACACACAGTGGCTCTACTGAGAGCAAACTGATCAAAATGAATAATTATGTTGCAAGTTGAACTCCCAAACTAACCCACCTGGTGCAGGATGTCTTTATCCAGCATGGCAGTGAATGGGACGTCTGATCCTCCAAAGTATGGGGAGTAGATGGTAGTGTCATTGAGTGGAGTGGTTATAATGAGCTGTACAGTTCTGAAGAAGGGACCAAAGTGTTTGTCAAAGTAGTCCTTCTCTTGACGAGCCTGGCTAGTGGGAGCCGACCACAGATCGACGGGGTCAGTGGTGATGTGCATGTAGACCAGCCCGCCAGAGGAGGCGACCACAACTATCAGGCTCCCCAGGATGACCACAGAGGGATGTTGCACGCAGAAGGAACCCCAGGAGCAGAAGAAGACACGCAGTGCATTCTCGAAGCGTTCGCCGAGAGTCTCACAACATGATGCATTGACTAAGGAGACAAGACTTGGATTTGGTTTCGGCTGCGCAACAATGACAGTTATTGCACCTACGAAATAAGACCTGTAGATGACGATAGTAAAAATATTCACCTTGGTCAGGATTATTACTGTTGAGAGACAGTGGGCTATTACTGTCCAGTATGGGGCCATACTCAGACATGATCGTCCTTTTCCTGTTCACACAAACCAAACAAATTAGGTATTAACTTCAAATGCCAGCAACAAAATCAATATATGATTGTCATGCTGGGTGAGTGGCTGCAGATACACTGTATGATACAATTCCCATCAGAACACACCACAAGCAAGAAGTCCCTTACCTGTAACACCACGCAATCAGTACAGCTCCAAAAAAGATCAGCAGGAAGGCCACGTAAGAGATCCACATGATGACAGTCATAGCATCGATACCAAAGATTGTCCAGGGTGGGGGGAGAGGGGGAGGTACGGGTTTGGGCCCACAGGAGTTGGTGCAGTCCTGACAGGAGCAAGGACCAGAGCCGTCCTCCAAGCCATCGGTGCAGGCGTATGTGTTGTTGTTCATGGGAGTATAACCAGACACCGGGACATCTAAAGCAGCGCAACACAGGACGATTGATCAACCATGTGAAAAGTAACAAATGAAACAAATGAAGGAGAAAGCTACAATGTTGAGTAAAATATTTCCTTTTATGATGAAATGTGAAGAATTACTTCTAAAGGATTTACCTGAGAATATCGGGATGATAGGGAACGGAGACTGTCCATTGTTGATATCAAACAGGTACTGGATCCAGTTAGTAGCATTACACTCTTTTGCATCTTTGCCACACAGCAGTGATAAGGCCTTCACGTTGCTGGATGGTGCCTGGACGTCCTTACAGGCGTTGTACATTTCTGAAAAAGTTCCATTTGATTATTGTAACTGACCTCTTTATTATTTGATGACAAATGCAGCAACTATGACCACGAGTGGCCGACAGAATTGCACAACTGAGAGCATGACTTCATGTTAAGGGGGGGTCAATGGAGTTTCATCTCCAGATTTGACATGCAATCCCAACGTGGCTATTTTTTATTTGTCACAGAGTCTCTAGATTTAACTGGGAAGCACTGAAAAAAAATTAAAAGTCAAAGCTGATTTTTTGTCTTCATCCTCTGCTGGATGTGAACTCACCGTTAGCAAATCTTCGTCCAAGGTAGTACTGCACCTCCACTACGCTGGTGTCATTGATATCTGTGGCATTCATGAACTGACTTTGTTGGGGGCTACATGTCAGCTCACAGAAGAGGGTCATCAGGTTAAAGAAACAAGCGGGACACCTACGCACAGAGGCAGTGAGCGTCAGAAGCAGGATTTAAAAAAAGGCACCGACTGTTGCACAACAACCACATAGAAGTTGAAATTTTAAAGTGTAACATAGCTGCAAATAAGGTAATAACAAATATGGGGGTAAAAATGATTTAGAAAATGCCAAGCTAAGACTTAAAACTGTGTAGTAACATTTGAGCAGCACACGCACTAACAAATGTAGATGGCCCACTCTTAGTGTTTATAAAGTGTGTCATGTGCTTCAATAGTTAATTATAACACCGTAGTTCCTACCGAGACAGGAACTGCAGGGGAAGCTGGAGACTCCCTTTGAGAGTGTGCAACTGGTCTACATCACAGCAGAGGCTACGATTTCCATAGTCGAATCCAGGACAAAGTTCCTGCACGCAAACAAAGAAGGAATGACATCAGGTTGATACTCCTTTATAGACTTTTTTTTAACCAATGGGAAGATAAGATAAGATGGACTTTATTCATCCCACACTGGGGAAATTTCAACATTACAGCAGCAGAAGGGCATTAGGATACAAATAATATAGAAATAAAATAAAAATATGTGTATGTGTGTGTATATATAAAGACAAATGCTAGAGTATGTTACAGAAACATTGGTTTGGACAACAAACATCAAGAAAAATCATTCAGAAACATACCGTGAGAAGCTCAAACCCCTCAGACTGTAGAGGGATGGGAGGACCAGTGTAGTTACAGTTGTACTTTTTTCCTGGCACCTGTTTGGACTCCCCACACTCCCCATACCAGACACAGTGCTGGGCCGCGACCTGATGATAGGACAAGAAAAACACTGATAATTTCTGTGGTGTGTTCAAAGAGCAACATTTACATTTTTTTTCCTGGTGATTCTTCTGCAGGTTTTTTCTTGAGGGACCAGCCTCTTTAGAGAGACATGGTCTTGCCAACAAATTAAAGACAAATAGTCAAAACACAGTGGAGCACATGAATTAGACCACTCTGATCTAAGGTTGAAGCTGTTCCCTTTTAGCTGGAAGTTTTATGTTCGTCTGGTTAAACCTCTGGTAATGTTTCCTTTCCTGTGTTTCAAGTATCTTGCACCTTGAATGTCTGACAAAAACTTTCATTTCTGCAAAAATACCTCTTGACAATCCAGTGCTTGACAGGGAGGCGTTCAGTTTAGTCATATATGAAACTGTTATCTTGACTCAACTGACATTCAACGTAATAAAAGGAGTTCAGAAAAGGGGATTCAAATTCCTATGGCAACATAAATGTACTCACCCTTTGTTATTGTGTCAGTTATTTTTATTGTGTTATATGTTATTAAAGCTCCATTTGGACACATTTATTTTAAATTGGACATATTCCATAAAATACAAAAACATACCTTTACCACAAATGCTTCATGGATTTAACCAATATTTATACAGAGGCGTCTGCAGTTAAAGTTTTCCGTTATCTGTGTATTCAGCATCAGTTCTCACATGTTCTTCGTTGGGAGGGGGGGGGGCTTAGGGAAGTTAATTCACTTACTCCACAAACTGTTCTATGAATAAGCCCAGTGTCACACTATGTCTTACTTGTGCCTTGTGTGACTGAGTTCAGGGGCAGCATTCACATGTCATTATTTCTTCAGCTGGACTGCAGATGAGCCCGATTCTCTAAATCCACAAACTATTTGTTCAAAGTCAACTTGCAAGTCTCTCAACTGGAGACAAAAGACTTGATTACATAGAATCAGATCCAGAAACCTGATTTATGATCCCCACCCCCAACAAAAGAACCTGGCAACAAACACACGTTTCTATTTCATCCCTTAAGTTTGTCCACTACAATCTCCCAAAGCGTTCTATATTTTTACTCATCCCACATTCATGTTGTGTTCACCAGGATATCTTAATCTCGAAACTGCAATGATTAGTCAGATCCTGGTGAGATGCTGCCGCATAGTTTTAAAGCTGTTTCATGCCTTTTAGTGGACTGACCTGATTACCTCATGAATACAGGTGAAAGCAATGCAGTGAAAGAGGGTTAGAGGACAGACTGTGCTTAACTATTAAATCAAATCAATATATATTAAACCTTCAGTAATTATGTCTCCTTTTTTAATTTTTTTTAAATTTTGGATCTTTACATTTTAATTGACCTTGTATTCGTCTGCTACTTGTGGTGTTGCCTTGTTTTTACTTGCTGTTTTGAAACGTGCAATACAAATAACATCAAATTGTTATTACATGATTTGTTTTTGTCCTTTAATACAGATGTTTAGTCAAGCCTCCTACGTTTCGTCACAATAACTACACTGAGTGAAAACCAAAACTCAAAGTGAGTTTTACACATTTACAAAAGGATTACATGGTTATAGAGGGACACGAAGAGAACACCATGAACATTTGCTGAACAACTCGCCGACGCTGCAGATTTCTTGTCATATCCAGTTGCAACAGATTCAAAATAATGTCTTGTGATGATCTATACATCAGATGGGACACATTCACCTAAAACCTGGAATACACAACGAGGGACGTTCACTTTATTTCTACTTTACGTCCGCTCCTCTGTGAGCGAGCTGGGTTCGAGCTGCGAGGTTAGTTCGGCACAAACATGGCAAAGCGCAGCTAGCTGCTCTGTCTGAGCCACATTTAAAGCCAATTAGTGGCTAACACTGTTCTTCGACCTGGATGTAAACAGCGGGAGTCTTCAACAGCTCAACTCGCAGCTTTAGCTAACCGCCCCACATCAACACAACATTAGCAACCGAGCGGCGAGCTGAGTCACGTTAGAGTCACGAGAACCGGGGACGTAAGAGTCGCACTCACCCATCGTAAACATCCCTGCGACAGGAGGACAGCGCAGACAAGGAGACGCAGAGAGTGTCTGCCGTGTTGGGCCCACATGCCGCCGGCTGAAGAGTTCGAGTCCGAGTGACAGCGAAGTCAGAGTTTCACATATGTTGTTGATGCTTTCTTCTTCTGCGCACCGCTCGTTGGCGCCGGAGACAAACTGTTCCCTCGGTGCTGCCACCTAACGTCGTCCCTGGTGCACTGCATCTAAACCCTACACCAGGAAACGTCATTTAAGTTCGTTGTGTAAATTAAAGGCCCTGAAAATGAATTACATTAACCAGATTCTCCTTATACACAACCAGGTAACTTTTATCACAATTATATAAAGTAATGAATGATTTTTCATTGTGAAAAGTAATGGAAATCCTTACAAATGGAAGTCATCCTCTTGTTTATTTAATTTCCGATATTATTATTAAGCATATACCAAATCAAATCCAACACAATTTAATTTTTACTGTTTTAATTGTGTTCCTGACTTTTGTAAAATGGCAGATACATGTCCTATCACATTACACTGCATTGGAATAAGGTGAAAATAGGGTTAGGATTTGATTCTTTTTTATCGGTCCATGGCAAAAAGTGGAGTTCTGACCCAATTTGGCCTAGAATACATACAGATTCAAGTTTGCCTAACTGATTGTGTTTTTATAACGAGTAACCTCTCCCGTCTTCTTGAAGGTTAAGTGGCTGATCAGTGTAAAAACTTAAATAAACTTTATTTCATCAAACAAAAAAAAAGGTAGACCATTATATCATGTGAGCTATTTCTGCATCTTCTTCTAGTTGGTTTGAAGTGAATGGGCTTGAAAAAATATCGTAAATAATTCTATGTACTTTGATGAATTTTGTGTAGTAATGTTATAACACCTTGTTTTAACATTCAAAGACTCACAGATGATGTGATGTTAAGGTCAGTTACTGTTTAGTTTCAATAATTCCTCACTCTTAAAACAAATTGCATTCATGTCAACATCCACAAATCCTTTAACTACTCATTACATTTCATTCTTTAGAATAAAATGAGCCAGTACGATCAAACATTCTCCTCTTCAAACATGGGCGTGATTAACGATCATGCATCTTTTTTCTTAGTTGATGTTTCCATGTGAAGACGTCCTCCTGGTCTCTGTCATTGTTATCATTGTCATTGTTTGTTTCTTTAAATAAAGTTTAGGGAAACTATCAATCAGTCTGATTAAAGCACAGTCGGCCTTGATAAATCAAATCACAGTGTTTCAGTGTCAGTTCTTTATTTTAACTTTCAGTTTTGATTTAGCAACAAATATTTGTATTTGTGATATGAAATATATACGGTTTTAAACAAAGTTTTTACATTTGAACTCAAAAGTAGTAAAGCTTAAAGTTAAAATATAAAACTATTATTAAAACATTTCTACAACAATGTTAAATAATTGCAATTTGTGACATTTAAACTGCCAAATTCTGATCCTAACATTAATGCCATCAATTTCAAAAAGCAAAATAAGTGAATACAATTTTACCCATTTCATTTAAACTAAAATTGGATTTAACGGGTCCTCTTTTCTTTTTTTTTACATTTAGTAAAATATTTCTTTCCCTCAGACAGACATCAAGAGGAATTAGGAGTTAAACACTTTAATCTGCAATATAAAGGTTACTTTGATCAGTTTTTCATTAACTATCACTGTTTTACTACCTCTGCTCGTCATTGGTGGACAAACAAACCGAAGCTTCAGAAAGGATTCACTCGTCATTCAGCTGATTATCTGCTTATTCATCAAACTGCTACTTGAAGTGCTGCAAACATCAAGATTAAAAAAGAAAGACTGAGTAAATGAGTGAATCATTGGGCTCTTTTTCCTTCTTCCTACATCTCTTTACTTCTCATCACTTGTTTCAGCTGTGGGGAAAAGACAAAAACAAACAAGATGTGTTTACATAGAAAAAAAACATTTATTCATATTCAGTTCGGAATGAAATAATTACAATTCAGGAACAAGTGCAGATTCACGTATGATGTGACAAAATCGTGTACTGATAGTATAAATTATAGGTGACTTTTTATGGTGGTATATTACAGCAACATTCACTGTTTTCTGTACATGTACCTGTGTAAAATCTGCAAAAGTAGGTCTACAGGCTGCTACAATAGGAGATTCCTTTAAAACTAGGAATGATATTTGCAAAGTTATTGACTTTAAAGCTTCAGGAGCAGGTTCACAGAGACGGTCTCAACACCCTGTGTGAAACAACAGTCTATACTTACAGAAAAACACAGAGAAGGAAAGGTCTCCTGGGAATGATACTTAAGACTAAAAACATCAGAAACATCCTGAGTTTCTTACACAACACAGAGTCATTCAAACAGTCGCTAAAATACATCGTGTTAACAAGGAAATACCACTAGTAATGACAGCTACTTAAAAATTCAAACAAGTTGCTCATGTGACTCTAAGACAGTTCAACCAGCATTTCAAGTGGAAACACTCACACACACACACACACACAC